TTTTTGTGTGGTTCAAAAATACAGAAACAAAAAATGTAAAATACAAATGGAAGAATTCCCCATAAAAAATTTTTAAAAAAATTTAAATTACAGTGTTAAAATCTAATATTTACAGCATGTTAGATAATTTTGGCTTGAAAAAAGCTTAGTCAATTTGTAATCCTTGAATAAGAACTGTTGAATATAACACGTTGGATTGGACTACTTTTAGATGAGCGAGCTGTGATGTGCAAAATGCTGTTTGCAAACTTGACTTTCTGTTTTAACAAAATGCACTCACACTGCTGACTTTTCTGACATGTTTTCTATTAGTTTGTGGCAACTCTGAGTAAACCTTTATTCGCCTCAATGTTAAAACCTGTGAGACCTAGCAATCTCAGCTAGGCTTCGGGCTGTGAAAGCATTGGGCTGTTTGCAGATTTGAGGCTCAGCAAGATTCGGATAAACATTTGTTTGTGGGAAGAAAAGGCGGAGGCAATAAAAAAAATGAGGAGATGGATGAAAGAGGTCGTGTTTTAGCAACCAGTAAAGTATAGAAATAAGAATACAGTAGAAGAAAAGCAACAGCGAATTACTCAGCAAGGTGGGAAACATTAGAATGAGCAAAGAGAATCAGGAGGGACACACTGTTAATCCTCTCTCTTCTCCCCGTCTGTCCAGCTGATGACGAAGCATCCAGCGAAGCGACTGGGCTGTGGTCCAGAGGGGGAGAGAGACATCCGAGAGCACAGCTTCTTCCGCTACATGGACTGGGAGAAGCTGGAGAACAAGGAGGTGCAGCCTCCTTTCAAACCCAGAGCTGTAAGTCCGACAAATCACACAAGTGGCACATGAGGCAAAAATGCAAAAATACTTTCCCCCACCAGAGCAAGGAGCAGGTGTTTAGGTCCTGCTGGTGGTTGAACTTCAGGTGGAGACTCTGCTTAGTGGATCGTTGTGGGCGCAGAATAAGCTTTACGCCTCTTCATTTCTTTCAATCTAACATCCTCTGTTTCCTTTTGACGTCTATCTCTGTCTCTTCACTTTCAATGTGATGCTTCTGTCTCTTTCCCCTCCTCTGTGTGGGACGACGCATACAGGTAAGTCAGGAAATAATGGTGATGGTGATGAAGATTGTGTGCTGACGAGGCTGCGGTTTGGTAACGATGCAGAAGATGATGATGAGACAGGTTTCGGTGACGATGAGTATCAGCGACAGCAATAACAAAACGGTGCTTATGATGATAATGACGACATTTTGCGAATATGAAATGGGCTGTTTGGTGCATTCTGCATGTGCTGGGAGGATTTTAGTCTCCACTGAGTTTAGACTAAAGCTCCAGGGAGTAGGTTCAAACACTTTCAGCAAAAAGTGACCTGAAACAACTGTGTGTCTGTGTTTTTCTGTTATTCATTCTACGACAAAATGAGTTTGATCATAACAAGAGTCAGAATGATGTCATCTCACACGTACATGTAATACGTGCGCACACTCACGCAGCCTCAGGCCACGATGCTGCTGCTGCTGCTGCTGCTGCTGCTGGAGAGTTTTTCCGAGTTGAGCTTTTTATGCAGCGGCCTGCTGGGGTATGTTTGTATGTGCTGGATCAGGAATACCGCAATGTGCAAGCATGCATTCAGGTGTGTTTACATGCATGTTTGTAACCTAGAGGTCACATTTAGGACGCACTGAGGTGTGTTTCTGCAAAGTCTTCTGATGTGGCCACCAAACATATGTTGTCTGATCTTCTCTCTCCTCTCTACCTTCTCTTACCTTCTGTCTGCCTCTTTTCTTCTCTGTTTGATCTTTCTAACATCTTTTGTCGTCTGTCACTTCTCTCTCTTCCCGTCTTTCTTCCCGCCGAGGAGAATAAATAGGTTTAGATTTTTTCCAATGAACCGTTGTTTTTAACGACACATGAAAGTTAGGAATCGTCTGAAGGTGGTTCTTTGATCCTCGATGCTGCTGTTATTAGACTTATTTTAGTCAAGCAGGTTCGTTTTGGGTTTTTTTTCGCCTCTGTGTTATTTTAAGGAGGGTCTCCCTTTGTTTCTGGCTACCTCAAACCATTTTCCCTCCGAGTGCTGGGTGGAGGAGGGTAGTTGTTCATGAAGGATGATTGCTGGTTGAAAGAGTCGCTTTGGTCAGAGTTTAGTTTCCTAACTGTTCTCGATGACTGTCCGTTGTATGCTGCGGATGCCTTTAACAAACCTGTTCGATGTGTGAATGACTGACCGACTCAGACCGACTGACCAGCTGGTTTACTCATTCACCCGACAGATAAAACATGCCATGACTTTCATTTAAAGTTATCACCGTCTCCATCCATCTGTCCTTCCAGCAAATCAGTAGTCAGTCTATTTTTCCACCAACATCCCAAAGATGTCATCCAGCGATCCATCCATCCTTCCGCCGATCCATCCATCTGTTCACTGCTGCCACGCATCAGCCCATCTGTCCTCTCATCAGCACATTTTATTTGTCCTCTCTGTGTTTGCAGTTTTTTTTGTGTATGTTTCTGTTTATTTGCATGCTCTGGGGTTCGGTCTCAAATGAAACCTGTCCTGCAGTTCACTACTTAAACCTCATAGTACTAAAAATCTAATAGAGACATCCACTATGATCTTAGGAATATAACCTCTTTGGCTTAACATCTCGATTGCCTTAAAACAAATGCATTGCTCCAGTCTTTTTGCTCTAAAGCAGCATTTCACCAAAAAACAAACCCAGCAGCACCCTTGATATTATTCAGGTTGTTGACCTTTGTTCCTCTCTGACATGAAACATTGATTCTCAGATACTTCTAAACTTTGTGACACTCGTTTCATTTCCCTTTGTGGCCAAGTCCTCCCCATCTGGCTCCCCCCAAAACAGGTTAAAACAAATGCAAGTAATTAGCTGCAAATATTATTTGACCCTGGTGTATTTCTCATTTCACATATTTCCCCAAACTATAAACAGTCTGGCTTAATTTCATTTGGTTTTTCCGAGTTACAGAGATTTAATGAGTTTGTAGTTTTCCTCTGGGTGATGTTGTCAGAGGACACTGAATCCTTGTTGTGTTAATTAAAGCTCGGCGCAGAGATGGAGATGGGAAAAAAAAAAAAGGAATAGCTCGGCCCAAAGTCCCTGTGAGGGATACTGTCAGGAAAATATAGTTTTCGAGTTAATAACTTGTTTTATGTACTTAGATGGACGCATATCTCAGGGGTATATAAACTCTTTCTGAGCTCCCAGTGGTCAGAAGTAGGAAATGAAGGGGACTGAAATGAACAATGACTTGTTCTTTTTTTTTTTTTTTACAAAAGCAATCCGACCTAATGCGAATTGTACAGTACTCAGATAATTTAATTCAATCATCCGTCACTGCTTCGTTAGGATAACCAAGAGTTTGATTGGATTCCATTTTCAGCTAGCCAATGTCACATACAGAGAATCTTAAAAGTCAGTGAAATATTTTATCAAACTGTGCATCCTCCAAACAAATATCTAAAGAGATTTCATGTTGTTCCCAGCGCTCTTTTGCATAAGAGCTGATTGTCTGATTTGGTTTATCATATCTCAGCAGGTCTCCACAGCTGCAGCATATAATTACCCACCATTACACCAATAATTATCTAGTGGCTTTGAGCCTTTTTCTTCTGTTTAGAAATCCCAATTAAATCCAAGAACCATAAAATCTAGATGAAACACTAAGAGGGGGGCTTATGATGCTTATGGTGAAAATGCTCTTTACCAAAAAGTTCGAGCTCCATGCGTTCCACCGACATGGTCGCCAGTTTAACGTAGTGCACCGCCACAGGATGTTTGAGACCTCAGTGACCTTATGTTTAAAATTTGAGTTGAATATGCTTCAAATATTTGAAAAAGGAAAGCAAACCTGAGGCGTGCTTCATTTATCCTCTCCTGAGAGCGACGCTCTCGTATCAAACCGAAGGCGACGACGGTTTCCGTTTTGGAACTCTGGCTGATGGAGAGTTAAATCAAGCACACCCCGAGTACTTCACTTGTTCTCATATTTGAAACCATGTTCAAGTGATGTCATCTCACACCCTGGTTCAACCTGCCATTCCCCTTCTTTTGTTCTCCTTTTCCTCCTTCCCCCCCACCCAACCTCGATCCATCCATTTTTGTCCATCCCCGCTCCTCCCCGATCCTTTCCCCCAATCCACCCCTTCCCCTTGTACTCCATCCCTCCTTAACAGTGCGGACGGGACGCCGAGAACTTTGACCGTTTTTTCACACGCCACCCGCCGGTGCTGACCCCTCCTGACGAGGAAGTGATTCAGAACCTGGACCAAGACGAGTTCCAGGGATTCTCCTTTATCAACCCCGAGTTCCCAGGAAACGCTGCTACCACCACTGCCACCGAGCAGGCTTGATTTCAGCTCATGCACGGACACATGGACACACATACACTCACACATATATACACAATCGTTTCTCCAGTGTCGATCCTGCATACCCTGGAATATACAAACATGTTAACTTTAAATATCCTGGAATTCAAGAAACAGATTAAACTTTGATCACAGATTTCTTGTTCACACTGTTGCAGCTCAGATGATGTGCTGACTCTTATCTGAAGATGACAAACCTGATCTCATGTACTGTAGCAGTCTGGTAGAAATACGAGTTAAACTGAGAAACTGAGATAACTAATTTTTCTTGCTTCTATCAAATTATTGCTACAAAGCATACAGCTTGCCACTGACTTTGTTTTTAGCATATTACTGTAAAATCAGTGTGGTATAACGTTATGCATGATCCAGTAAATAACATTTGCAGGGAAACCGGAAGCATCTAATTCGCCACAAGCTTTCTGAATCCGACTCATCTTGCATTTTAGATGGTATCTCGCTCACAGTGTGAACAACAAGTTAGTGTTTACTTCAGCATACATGATCAGAATAGAGATTAGAAAATGAATTTAAAAGTTCAGAAATTTTTAGGGGATAATTAGAGCACCATTTTTGCATCACTGAAGAGTAATTAAACTGACACAAACGGGTTTATTTCATTAAAAAAAAAAAAGAAAAAAGAAAGTATAACCTCGCTACAGAATATCAACAAGTCAGCTCACATATACACACAACTGCAAAATTTCCTGTGTAACATAGCTTCAGCAGTTCTAACTTTTATTTGGGTGGAAATTGTGATTTTTACCTTTTTTTCCCCCTCCTCATTTCTCAGCTATTCCAGCGCATTTTGGTTTAGGCTTGAATTTCTGTGTGCTTTTTTTAATGAGTGTATAATAATAATAATAGTGTCTGTATCCTTATATTAGCTAAAACTGGAATGCTTGACTTACGTGCATGAGATTCTATATCAAGAATAGCCCTGGATCTTGTCTCCCAATGGCATTTTAGAAGAAAAAAAAAAAAAGGCACCACAAATATAAGATTTTCTGTCTACTGATTGCTGTCCACCACTGGGCTCATGATGATGGGAAATGTAGTCTTTATAGACGGTCTGAGTCAGATAGATAGATAGATAGATAGATAGATAGATAGATAGATAGATAGATAGATAGATAGATAATACTATTTCTTATGCTCTGTTCTCTTGTATTTAAGCAATGAAAGAGACTAGCGGTTAGTTTCTTTGTGTTATAGCATGAATCCAATACCTGGGCATTTGTTTACAGTGTGTGTGTGTGTGTGTGCACATGTATGTTTTCTATGTGTGTGAACAAGTATTCTGCATAGAAATGCATATTTGCATTTTCGTACGTGTCCATATTGCCTTCCCAGCGCCTTGCCTGGCCTCATGTTTACGTTTGTTTGTATGGCGAAAATCAGCACCCCTTTCATATTAAGCAGTATTAGTGGGATCCACTTTGCTTCCATCCAGCAGTTCCATTAGTGGCAGAAAAGGAAATAGGAGACAGAAGTAGAGTAGAAAAATAAGTGGGGGTTTTTTTTTGTTTGTTTGTTTTTTTCTGTAAGAGTGCATTGAAATTGAAACAATTCCTATCTAGTCACGCACTGATCTTAGCGACAGCCATTCCTACATTTTGTTTTTGAATCAGCATTGAGTCCCTGGACAGCACCACCTCAGAAGCATTGCTGTTGTGCAGATTGAGATCTATGAGCTGGAAATCAAAACTGGACCCAAATTCTTGCTTTTAAAATGCAGGTTCAGCACCTGAGCATCTCAAAAAAGTTGCTAAGCATGGAAAAAGTTTTACAAAGTAGAAAACAAAACAGACCAAAATATGGTGTAGCCTGTAAAGTTTTGATCTCATGTTTTGGAAGTTCGACGCTCAAGTCACTGTGATGGATGTTTCTCTGTGTCCGCTAAAGAATGTCCATCCTGTAGAAAATGTAAACAGCTCGGTCTCCTGAAGCTGGAGAAAGTGTGTGTGTGCGTGTGTGTGTGTTTCGTCCTTTGTTTTCCCTCGCTAGCAATAATCCTGCTGACAGGAAGACAGAACTGTAGGTTAGAACTGTTAGTGATTTACATACAGAGGCGATGAGGTTATTAGTGGGTCTTTTCCACTCTGCCAGAGGAGGAGAAGTGTTTGTACTTTACATACCACTCTCTTCATCGCAGAGGCACATCAGCGGAGTTTTCTCTGCAAAGTGGGCACATTGACATCCTGGTCCACTGGTGTTTATCAGTAGTTTTGTATGTAGTGTGTATCTGCAACCAAGGAAGTCAGTTTTGTTCATTTTTCTGAAAGGAATTTGAGGTCTTTAGGGGTCCACTTGGTTCTGAAAGTTAAGGTCAAGATTGGATCCAAATTGCACTTAGTTCAGTGAGGATGGATTGAGTCTTGTTTTACTTCCACAGGTCTCTGGTCTGTGTTAATATGTCTAATCCAGTGTTTCCTCTACATTCATTTAGCAGCGGCGGCCCGACATTCCTAAATCCTCGCCGACGCTCCTTCAAATTTCTTTCTTTCTTTTTTTTTTATTGTTGCAAATACACCACCGCCGCATGTCTCCACCTTCCCAGCAGAGTCCTGCTCTGGGTCAGGTACTCGCGACTACTACGGTAACCTACAGATAACTATCTTGCTCAGTCTCTACTCTCTGGGGGTTAATACAACGTTATTTGCTCGCGAGAGTGTGGCCTTCAAAGTGATGCTGTTTATTCCGCTCACAGAAAAGACCGCATGAGAAAAAATCACTGTTTTATCTTGGACAAATCTGACACTAGAACGCCCTATTTTACTCGTTTTAAAGTCATCTTTGGTCGCACACCGGTCTGAGCACCGCAGCCACAACAGCAGCTACCACAGCCTGCTATGTGGGGTGTTCAGGGAACATCTGTAAATTGTAGAGTTAAGAAAATGTTCAGCCGTTCATATGTTTTGCCTGTGACAAGGTGGGCAGTGGGAACAAATGAGAAAGTTGGTCGCACCGGTTAAAAAAAAAAAAAAAAAAAAGAGTCAGTCTGGAGTCCTGTGTGGACTTCCGTGTGGCACGAGCGTTGTTTGGTAAACGACTACGTACGCAGTGACGTACGGCGTGGCTGTAACTTGGCTCCTGGCCAATGGAAAAGTGACCGGTTCTTTGGAGGTGCCAGATTTGAACCAACTAAGCACTGGAACTAGCACCTGGTTCTTCTCAGGTGGCTCAGGTGGTAGAGTCAGAGGAGAGTCATCTTGGAGAATAGGGCAGCGTCTTACCGGAGAACAGGTAGACTTATTAGCTTAGGGGAACTCAGAACAGATTTTACAAGCTAAATAGACTTTGGCAAAACTTGATGGCCACATTGTTACGTAACATATCGGTATCTTAAGTTAATTGGACCTGGGGCCAACTCAGTGTTGCTAACGTGAGTAAACTAACTGATAGCATTAAGCTAATATCTACACGCCATGATGGAACTGCTGACTGCATCTTCAGATGAGCTTGTTCACATATTTCTCTCAGAAGAGAAAGACACCTGATGAAGATGAAGCTAGCCAGGTAGCATTAGCCTTTTATTGACACATAAATGATGATGGTCAGGTAAAAATAACATAGTGTAATAATATATCATCAGACACAAACTAGAAACATTTTTAAAATGATTAGGGTGTGGGAAAATGAGAGACACAATCTCATTAGTGTTTCTGACTGTAGGTGAAGACTGACTAAAGAAACAGGCTTCAGGGGATCAGCTTGGATCATGTACGCTGCTGAGCATCAGCGGCCACCTCTCAGGGAATTTCCCTACAACAGAGCCTTAGAGCTCTTTTATTTAAAAAAACAAAACAAAACAAAACAAAAACACATTTATTTTTTTTATTTTTTTTACATTCAGCCTTTTTTAACTGGCCATTCAATAAATAGGTTGTAAAAGTAAAATCTGCAGTCAAATGTCATTTGTTTACGCCCCCGCTGCTGAAAAAACTCCTGGAGGAAACACTGCAATCTGATAAATAAATCAAAGCAATCAGTCAGCTTTGATTACATAGAATCTCCTAATCTCTTTATGCTGATATGAGATTGGTTAGAAAATGATCTTCTATCATCCAGTTAGCCACAAAATGTGCAAAAAGTTGCCATTAAGTCTCTAAACTAGTCTTCTAAGCATATAAAGGAATAGTTCTTGGAACTGATTTTACATTTGTTCTTAGGACATTATTATACTGCAGGTCATCTTGTTCATTGATAGCACCTTATGTTGCTGGTGTTCTCTCTGTTAGGGTGTGTTTGGGATGACAGCATTTTGTATATTTTGGATCCGGTCTAATTTCTGCCCGGTGTAGTCTGACTGACCTGGGTGCGAGTAGGTTTACCGCAGATCTGTTTCAGGTCATTGTGTAACCATGAAAACATCCAGTTCTATCATAAAGCTCATTCATTTGAAGGAACAAGACTTTTCTGATATGCTGAAAGGTACTGGAGTCAGTCATAACAAGACATTATTATGTAGAAAAAGATTACGAACGTCTTGGAATATCTTTGAAATTGACTAGAATTTAGTAGAAGATCATTATTTCCATCATAGGAGACAAATACACTCACAAACTGTCTGATAGCTGTAGCTGCACATGTGTTACCAATTGGTTTGGTTTAAGGTACCACTAAGAAAAACGGGAAACTTGTCATGTATTTATATCAAATATGAGTCATTTACAATTAGAGTGAAACCATGGTTTGCAGAAAGCTGAGGTAGCAAAAGCCAGGTCAGATTTTCAGACTAGGAGGCCACACTTTGAGGCTTTGTCACTGAATACTTTAACCCCCTATAAGGTACTCAAATGGAACATATTGGAGGCACAGTTAGAGGCCTGTAGTAATTTAACATTTTGATTCCACTCATAGATGGAATTGCAGTCATACTTCACATCTGGATAAGGCTGGTCCAGTCGAGATCTCTAGTTTAACTGCTGGCATGTCCAGCAGCAAAGAGCAGTTTTTCTGATTTCATATTTCGTCCGTGATTGTTTGAATGCATGTGTTGTGTTTTCTGTGGATTGAAGACCTAAACCTGTCCATCATTTGTGTTGCACCTCCGCTGTCAGTATTTATTTCAGTCATCAGCCCCTGAATTCTAACAGCAACAGCAAATACATATATATGCTAATACAGAAACATATATATTACTGTGTCAAATGTTGGTATATGCATATAATTAAACATGTGGTCAGTGTTTTAAAGGAGGAGAGGAGGAAAGGTCTTACTCCAGGATTAGTGTTTTTTTGTCTCTACGATTCCTTCCTGCTGAAGGAGAAGCAAAATGAACTCTGCATGAAAATAAAATGCTTTTGTTTGACCTTTTTATTAGTTAGGATTTATATACATTTAACATATTAGGGTGGTCCATGTTTTCTGTATCGGCAGTGCTTCAAAAGTGTGATCCAAGCTACTTTTATGTGCGCTGTGTGTGAAAATACATATATATCTGAAGAAGAAAAAAAATGCTTTTCACAATGCTTTCCATGTGCCAAATTTTTTTTTTTTTTTTTTTTTTTTTTGGTTTTCCAAGAAAAGCAGACATACCTAAAATAAAGAATTTAAAAGCTGTGTTAGAGAATTTTTATTGTGTGCTTCAGGTACGTGATCGTGGGTATCTCCATGCTTTCTTTAATTCAGCCTTTCATTTACTCACTCTGAGTTCATCACATTGTCACACAAACACAGACTGTTGCTGTCAGTGGAGTAAGTAATAAGGGGAGATAGGGGACAGTGAGTGTGAGTTAAAAAAAAAAAAAGGAGGTGAGAAGAAAGATAGATTAGAGTGATGGAGGGTGACAGACAGGAGGTTTCTGAGCAGCTGGAGGAGAGAACGAAGAGGGAACAACAATAAAGGGAGGCAACGAGAAGGGAGGAATAGGTATTAAGAAGGGGGACAGTGGTGAGGAGAAAGGGATGGAGGGAGGGGACGAGGAAGCAAAGCCAGGCTCTGTGAAGCGAGGCAGGCGGCTACGACAGGCTGTGCATATTTCATGGCTGCCACTTATCATAAGAGCCTTTCCCTGATGGGGGAGCGTAGGTCTGATGACTTCAAGGAAATAACATGCAGAACACGGCCTACATACACACAGCCCTGCTGAGCCACTCAGCCGCTTCTCGCCGCCTCTAAAGCTGCTCGCAATCCACTGCAGTCGAGCCGCCGCTGCTGTTGCTGCTGCTGCTGCTCCGACTAGCTGCAAATTTACTTTTAATAACCGTATCTTGCAACCATTTAGCGCCTCTTGTACATTATAATGTGTTAACACGTAAGGACACAAACTGGTTGCAGTGGTTGGGAACCATGTCTGGGAAGGGAAACAAAATGTACGACGCACCAAGTAGCCATAAGGAACATGTCTGCCTGTGTTTGTAAAGAAGCAAGCAGTGTTCTGGTTGTCACTCAAATATTGTAGTTTGCATCATGCATTAGCTCTTGTGTTTGTTTTTTTTAAAGTGATGCATTACTTTTCTGCAACAATACCTAAGATTCATTGAACAGCATAACATTAAATCTTACATTTGCCCACATATCGACACAAAACACTCCAACAAGATCTTTATTTCATGCTCTTTGATCAACTTTTGTCAACAACAATGTTTGTGAAAACCAATCCAAAAAACACAAAAATGCTCAGAATAGAAGTGGTACCTGATTAGTAGCTATAATTTAGCACCAGCATTGTGCTACTTTGTACTACTGCAGTACACACAAATGTAATGTGATTACTGTAATGCATTACTTTGCAATCTCTTACGTCTGAAAACTACTGAGATTCAAAATCCATGAATGTAAAAAGAAAAAAAAAAACCATACCAGTGAGGTTCATGAATCTACTCAAGAGTGTTTTGGTGGTACGTTTTGGGAAGAATCCCAAGGCATAGCAGCATATGAGCATTTCTAATATCCCACGAGAACTGCTAATGAAACATCTGGCTCAGAAGGGCTCTTAAAAAGTTTCAAGTTTTACTGGAAAAAGCTCAGAGCACACAGTTGATATGAGAAGACTTTGCTGTCTGTGCCCGACCGATACTAGATTTTTGGGGCTGATGTCAGTTTTTAGAAAGTAAAAAAAAAATTCCAACATTGATATGTCAGCTGATGTAAGTCGTAGTTTATTGTGAAGGAACCGTTTGACTCCGCACCACTCAGCTGTGCTACATGTGCTGCAGACAGTGCTGATAGTAGAATTCCAGCTACTGTACTGGACAAACTATGTAGTTGCACAATTTCTAAATGACACAAAGCACCTTCTTCTGCTTTTGTGTTAAGTTTTTATACCAGATATACACATATGCCGAGATGTAAATGTCAAGATCAGCTGATAATCTGCCCACCGATATATCATCCAGACTCTTTTGTCATCCATGTTCCACCCAAGCAGGCTGTTACTTTTTAGTCCAGGCCAAATACAAGCTGAACATGCACAATGACTAAAAATAGAAAGATGTTATTTACTCTAAACCACGATATCAGCTCTGCATTTATTAACATTGTATATTATTTACAACATGCAGTTGTAAAACTCAGCTCTACTGGTGAGCCTTGTGATCTAGTACGTATATCACATTTATGCAGTGGTACTAAAGTAACCTGGATTAGTCAGCAGTCTTCAACACTGTGACTGTTGTTGACACGTGTTTACAACAGAATCAAGTAATTCATTTTTTTATCACAGTGTGTCCTCTGCATAAACAGCCATAATGTTGTTTTTTCCCACAAAACGATAAATGATTTCTCTTAAGGTAAATAGTTTGACATTGAGGGGGAAAACCCTCATTTATTTTCCTGTGGAGAAGAGAAACTGGATTCCACTCTAGTGTTTGTCTGTTAAATATGAGGCTGGACGCAGCAGGGAGCTAG